CTTTCAACTTCAAAGTGCAGAATTATGTAGCTTACACATAATAACAAAAATTAAACCTCTCAGGTTTGTCTTAGCCAGCCTGAATATCATCCTTGCTACATCCATACTAACAAAGTTAGAAGATTCATAGAATCATAGCATGGCTTTGGGTTGGAATCAACCTTAAAGACCATCTAGTTCTAACCCCTTCCGCTGTGGACAGGGACACCTTCCACTATATAAGGTTGCTCAAAGCCCAATCCATCGACTTGAACACTTACATGGTTGATTGGTTTTTTTTTGCTTAAGGCTCCTCCTCACTACCCCTCTCACACCCACAGTTTTCTAAATCTATAGCCCAGGCTTCCTTTCTTCACTCCTAAATTTCTTCCCTTTTTCCTATATAAATAAAAATAATTAAAAAAAAATATCTTACATTTGAGAGCTCAAGTGAGAGCTCAAAACAAGAACTGTCACTTATATGGTGTTCTCTGGGGAAAAAAAAATCAATCAGGCCTTTTTGATTATTGTGTATACATCAGTCTTGATATTCATTACTCAGGAGAAGTGTTGAACACCGTCTAAAATCCTAAAATCTCTATTCCTCCTAGCTACAGCTGGAAGTGACAGTTGCCTCACTAACAATCTCACTCCTTGCTGTCTACTCCCAACGGTTCTCTTGCACTGGAACTGGTCAACCAAGACACTACAGGGAATTAAACGAGCAGAAAACTGATCCCATCACACAGAGGTACTTGCAGAGCTGGCTCCTTGAACCATATCACTGCAGATCAGCATATGCACTACAACAAAGACACGTATTTTATTTACAGCCAGGGCATCTTCAGTGCCAGTTAACCATATGATTTGCTTAGCTGTACTGTGAAATTGCACTCTTATTTGCCATAGTCTAGGTCTTACTTGATTCTTCCAGTTTTCCCCCTTCCCTCAGATGCAGCCTCCCAGTCTGAACAGTGCCAGATAGCTAACCTGACAAACCCCTTGCTTTGGATACTGCTATTTTGTTGGCTTCCACCTTCATTTCTTTACTATTGTCCTGGGTTCAGCTACAGCAGTCATTTTTTCTCCTTCTTAGTAGCTGGGGCAGTGCTGTGTTTTTGACTTTCAGTCTGGGAACAACGCTGATAACACCGATGTTTTTAGTTGTTGCTAAGTAATGTTTACTCTGACCAAGGACTTTCTCAGTCTCATGCTTGGCCAGAGAGGAGGGGAAGCCAGGAGGAAGCAGAGACAGGACACCTGACCCAAACTGGCCAAAGGGGTATTCCATACCACAGCACGTCATGCCCAGTATATAAACTGAGGAGAGTTACCCGGAAGGCCCAGATCGCTGCTCGGGTCGGGCTGGGTATCGGTCGGCGGGTGGTGAGCGGTTGTGTCCTTTTCCCTTGTTATTCCTCTTATCATTATTACTGGTAGCAGTAGTGGTTTGTATTATACCTTAGTTACTGGAGAGCTGTTATCTCAACTCGTGGGAGTTACATTCCTTCGATTCTCCTCCCCATCCCTCCGGGAGCGGGGGGAGGAAGGAAAAGGGGGGGAGTGAGCGAGCGGCTGCGTGGTTCCAAGTTGCCGGCTGGGTTTGAACCACGACAACTATGCAAATCAATTTAATAAAAAATACGTAGCTGCTATGCTCCCACAATGCTTTTTTTCCCCCCCAATCTTTCAGCATCCAGTTTTTTACATTACTCATGTTCTCAATCCTAAATTTCTGCCTTCGTTTTTCTTATGCTGTTTTTAATCAAGTATTTCACTCCTATATTCTCCCATTCCCATACTACCTTCCAAAATTCTTGCCAAAGTCTTTGCCTTCATTCCCTACCAATAGAGGAATTGCCCATTCTCCTTCACTGAGCACAAACACTCCTTCTGTTCTGCCTCATAGAAACATGACTACAGAGCTGTAGTCAGTACTCTCAATCTGTTGTTATCTCTCTTCTACCAGGCTCATTAAAAAAAATACTAATTTATAGTGTTTAAATATATTTATACATCAGCAATTATCCTGTTACAGTAAGCAGCACGAGAACAGTCTCAAGCTTTTCTACTTACTTTGATGAAAGTGTCATTTGAGCAGGTGGCTAAAAGATACTGACCACTTCCATTATTGAACTGGCAGCAATTGACCTGCTCTGAGTGTTCTTCATAAACACACCTACATTGGCCTGTTCTTGAATTCCAGATCTAGACAAAATTGAAAGATGAAAAAGACTTTTAAATATATTTAAAGTACTTCATTTAAAAAGAAAATATATCTGTAAACTATGCTGAAATACAAATGAAGCCCTAAACCATTCTTAGTAACACCTCAAAAATGTTTTCAGAATAAAGGGAAAGCATATATATTTACACTTAGAAAGAGTAAGTTACAAGGGGAAAGGGCGTAATTCAGATTATAATTTTATAAATACTGGAATTTCACCAAGGTTTTGCTACAACAGGAAATAAAATTCCTACAAATGGGAATTAAAAATTGCAAATAATTCACATGTAACAGAAAAAAAAATAAGAAAAAAGAATTTTGGGTACATTCATCTCATGCTAGCGATAGGATTGGACTCACATTATGTTCTACTTAAAAAGAATCACTTAATACAAGTAAAATAAGTTGTAATACTGCATGATGTAAACATTAAGCATCTTTTATGTTTTGTAACAAATAGGGCTTTTTCTATTTGTTAATCGTGAATTATCCACATCCTTGTCTCTACATTGGAGAGACATCAATTTGATAGATGGACCACTCAGTGGATAAAGAACTGGCTGGATGGCCACACACGAAGATTCGTGGTCAACGGCTCAATGTCCACTTGGAGACCAGTAATGAGCGGTGTCCCTCAGGGATCGGTGTTGGGACCTGTGTTGTTCAACATCTTTCTCGGTGACATGGACAGTGGGATTGATGCACCCTCAGCAAGTTTGCCGACGACAGCAAGCTGTGTGGCTCAGTTGATACACTGGAGGGAAGGGATGCCATCCAGAGGGACCTGGACACGCTTGTCAGGTGGGCTGATGCCAACCTCATGAAGTTTAACGAAGCGAAGTGCAAGGTCCTACACCTGGGTCGACACAACCCCAGGCACAGCTACAGGCTGGGCAGAGAAGAGATTCAGAGCAGCCCTGCGGAGAAGGACTGGGGGGTATCGGTTGATGAGAAACCAAACATGAGCCAGTAGTGTGCGCTTGCAGCCCAGAAAGCCAACCGTATCCTGGGCTGCATCAAAAGAAGAGTGACCAGCAGGTCAAAAGAGGTGATCCTGCCTCTCTACTCTCGTGAGACCTCACTTGGAGTATTGTGTCCAGCTCTGGTCTCCTCAACATAAAAAGGACATGGAGCTGTTGGAGCAAGTCCAGAGGAGGGCCACGAGCATGATAAGAGGGCTGGAGCACCTCATGTATGAAGACAGGCTGAGACAGTTGGGGCTGTTCAGCCTGGAGAAAAGAAGACTGCGTGGAGACCTCATAGCAGCCTTCCAGTATCTGAAGGGGGCCTATAAGGATGCTGGGGAGGGACTCTTCATTAAGGACTGTAGTGGTAGGACAAGGGGTAATGGGTTCAAGCTTAAACAGGGGAAGTTTAGGTTAGATATAAGGAAGAAGTTCTTTACAGTGAGGGTGGTGAGGCACTGGAATGGGTTGCCCAAGGAAGCTGTGAATGCTCCATCCCTGGCAGTGTTCAAGGCCAAGCTGGACAGAGCCTTGGGCAACATAGTTTAGTGCAAGGTGTCCCTGCCCATGGCGGGGGGGTTGGAACTAGATGAGCTTAAGGTCCTTTCCAACCCTAACTATTCTATGATTCTATGATTTAAAACAGTTAAAAAAACCCCTTTAGTCTTAAGAATCTGCTCTGCCCAATTTGGTTAAAACTGAAATTAGAATTATTAGTTTGAAAAAAATTGTCTGCCCTCCATTTCCTTACCTTCACTTTTTTGTCAGCAGAACAAGTTGCTACAAATTCACCATCTGCAGAGAAAGCACAGCACAGTATTTCATCATCATGGGCACTTATCTCCAGAAGTCTCTCGCCACTTTCTGCTTTGAACACCTAAAACAATAAACAATAAAATCTTACAACTTGCATACAATTGTAAAACACAAATACAAGTCTGTCTTCTCTTAAACAGCTCTTTTTATAAAAGCTTTTAATAAAATTGGCTTACTTTTGAAAGTATTTATAATTTCAGGCAAATCAACATCATGATAAAAACATGTAATTTGAGCTTCCATTTTGTAAGGGTGATTAGAGAGAAAAAGTAAGAACTGTTTTTTAAAAAGACTGCATATGCAATGTGCTTCATTAACGACTTTTCCTGCTGTTACTCATTAAGCCTTCTTCTTTTAAGCATTTGTATTCTTAAAAATACAAATTCCAGATATATTTATGTAATATCCTTCACTGGAAAGTAAGAATTTCAGCAGAAATTGATGATTCGGGCAAAAACAAGAAACAAGTAGTGAAAAGTTGTACAGGACGACACAAGTCTCAGTCTTGAGCTAGTCATAGGCAATAAAAAGGCAATTGGAGAAAAGTGTCACGTATTAATCGAAATCCCAACATTCTGGATTTGACTTTACAGTGGTGGTGGTGGGGGAAATCAGGTCTCCCTTTCCTCCTTAACTTAGGTATTCTTAACTATTAAAACAAATCATAAGGCATTCTTTACAACAGCCTTGAGGATGCCACAGTTGTGAAGTCCATGCTTTTTTCCTTTAATTTTTCATTGAACAGGAATATCTATGATAATTAAATGATTGGTATTTACTCAAATAAGAACATAAATACTGAAGTAACAGGAAATGTATATTTACAGTAAATTCTGCAGAACATCTGTTCTTAATCTAGCAATTTTTTTTTAATTTTACAGAAAAATTAGGAGTAGCTTGAAAACTGAAAAGCTTAGGCCACTATTAGAAAAAACATTAATAATTTCAAAGTTAAAGAATAAAAAAGGAATTTTCCTATTACTTCATCAACAAAAGCTAGTTTAAATGCAATTGCAATCCACACATTTTACTTTTTTGGGTAGAAAATGAAGAGAAAAATAAGCAATCTGCTCTCAATAACGAGGCCATTTAGTACAGAAGCCCAGCACAGTAACTTCAGCACAGCATAAAATGAGTACATTGACCAGGCACTCCCCCCTTAAGTGGATGCCATGATCATAATACTGTAGAAGCCAGCAAATAAAAAAAACAAATAAAACCACAGTAACAATACATTAAGTAGCCAAATGAACAGCAACTAAGCACCACTAATGTTATTACTTTAGTACTCAACTTATCAAGCATCCAAAACAATACTAAAGGCTTGCAGACAAGTTGTTCTTTTCCCTTACCTTTGGCTGTCTGGAATATGGATGCTTTACCAGGTTACTGGCTGACTGCTAGTTTTCTTGAGAGGTGGCTTCCCCTCCAGGCAGACTGCTGGCAAATTTGTATTAGTCACTTTCCCCCCTGTCTCCCCTAATCCACTTCCTAAGCACTGCAGGCCTGTTTCCAATCTAATACTGTCCTCAAATTCAGGAGTTCATTTTTCACCACAGATTTATTTATTTTACATAAGACAATTTACTAATTAAGCACTAAAGTTACATATGTTCATTACCATCCCACAGAAATAGCAAACCTATAACTAAAAGTCTTGGTGTTTCTCAGTTCTGTAAAGGTCTGCTGTGACTGGAAATAACATTTTTGCAAGCAAATATTAAATATGCTGGGGTGTACTACTTAGGCTGTAAGCTTTTCCATATCATTAAAAGACATCTCACATTTATATATTCACTGAAATCACAGAGTTTAGCTTTCAAACTAGAAGATAACACTTACTATTCTAATCATGCAATTTGATGCTTATGTAATACACAATTTTAAATCATTTCTCTCCAATATGTTCTAGATCCCTAATATCTCCACATAACAGCAAAAGAAAAGTGACAGGACTATTAACAAACGTTATCAAATTGGTACACAGCATCTCCTTTCACTCATGCATAGGTATCTTACCTGAAGTGTTTTATCAGCTCCACATGATGCTATTCTTTGTCTATCTTTAGAAAAGCAGGCATGGTAAACTGCATCTCTATGTGGACGAACAACCAGACGGTAGAGGTTTTTCAAGGATTTTTTATTTCTACAGGGTAAGACAATTGATTTTAGACAAGTAGTACCTTTTTGTTATTCAAAATCCTCTGTAAAAAGATAGCACTTTTTCACATCTTGAGCAGTAAGCTTTACAACAATCCAACCATCCCACTATATCTTACCTCTCAGCCTTCATGATGAAGTAATACGGGTAAAACCAAAAAAATGTGAGTTATTATTGCCCTCCAATAGTTACAGCTTAGAGGTCAAGAAAGATAATATGTACACAAAAAAGTAACATGCTACATGGGCAAAGCTGATGCACTGCAAAACACAGCCATTCTAATGACATTTTTATGATCTGATATGTGCCATTTCCAAATATAAATTTCTTCCTGAGAATTCCCGTTTCCTGCAGGCTCCTTTTCAAGCTTATTCAAAAACATTTGTAAATTTGTTTAGATCTTAATAAACTTGCTTAATTTTCACATCAATGACTCACTTTTATCACTAGATATTTAAATAAAGTATATGATTGTAATTGCATTTCAATCGGAGATTAAGCACAGAATCTAACACACCTTAGATGAGTTTTGCCTCACTTCAACAAAAAAAAATCAGAATTAGTAGAAATCATAATCATCCTATTTAGCCAGATCTTAATACAGAAAGCTGTCACTGTAATAAGACAACTCTGGTGATGAGAAGATTGTTATAAGATTATTTTTTTTTTCCTAGAATCAAAATGAATCAATGTACTTCAAGTTTTTATCATTATCAGTTTCAAACTTCAGGCTTAGCATTTAAATATTGGATAAAACATCTCAAAGAAAGTAGCTGTATTCCACAATGAAAGCGATTTTTCACTGCAAAATACTGACTCATCTAAGCCAATTTTTTTTCTTTCTTTTGTATATTTTAATACACCTAAAATTGCTGGTCAAAAGAGCAGAGTATTCACCTACATATCCTATGAACCATTTCTGGACCCTTGCCCTAGGATGGGAAACATAAGCATCTGTCTCTGTTCTGCTGATTTCAGTCATGTTCTTCAGCATAATTCTCCTGCACACAAGATGAAAACCCTGAACTACCTAGAGATTTACTCCTCTGAACTGTGCAACTTCCAAGCGTTTTTGTTAGAATTCTGTTAGCTACGCAAAATGAAACAACCAAATATTCAAAGAGAAGACCTGAAAATTCAGGTATGCCTAGATTAACCTGCCTAGTTATTACCATACGTCCTGGTTTCAGCTGGGATAGAGTTAATTTTCTTCCTAGTACCTGGTGTAGTGCTGCATTTTCGACGTTAGTCTGAGAACAACGCTGATAACACACTGATGTTTTTAGTTGTAGCTAAGTAATGTCTACCCCGACCAGGACTTTTCAGTCTCTCATGCCCTGCCAGTGAGGAGGGGCACAGGAAGCCAGGAGGAAGCAGAGACAGGACACCTGACCCAAAGTAGCCAAAGGGGTATTCCATACCACAGCACGTCATGCCCAGTATAGAAACTGGGGGGAGTTACCCAGAAGGGACCGATCACTGATGGGGTCAGGCTGGGTATCGGTCAGCAGGTGGTGAACGATTGTGTTGCACATTAGTTGTTTATTCCTTTCTCACTCTATTTTCTATTATTACTATTGTTGTTGTTCTATTATTATATTTTACTTTTATTTCAATTATTAAAGAATTATTCAAATAGGAGAAATTTCAAGATTGGATAGAGATTACAAAGCCCTTTTAGTATTTCCCATCTTACTACTTCCAAAAACTTTGCAAGTTAACATGAATTATCTCCTTTTTAAAGTGTACATTTTAATAGAAAACCTAAAAGCATACTGTAACATAAACAAAACTTGTACAATTCTAACTTTAAAAGAAATACTTAGAGAAATTTCAAAGTATCTTATTTTCATCTTCATACAGTTATTTTAAAAGAACAATCATTGAGTACAGAAGTAAATATATTCCTCTATTTTTATGTAGTTATTACTTATTTGTGGCCTTACATATATATCCAGAGTTCTCTTCCTCCAACAAGTTCTTTAAAATTATTTCAATTTCTTTCCCCAGGAAAAAAAACCCACAGCAGTTCTTAAAAAGGCCATATATTGTGTTGTACATTAAATGATTTTCTTGCAACAAAGGATCAGCATATCAGCAGGTGGACTGTAGCTACTTACATCCATTCCAAATAAAATGTTCCTGTTTCACTTTGAGCATGTAGCTTGGCTTGTTGATACACCTCTGATGTCTCTGCTTGGCAAAGACCCAGCTGTATAATGTCAGGAAATGGCTGTCGTCCAAGCAGGTGCCCATTTAAGGACAGAAATTCCTGGAAGTTCTCACGTACTGTGCTATCCTACGTACAGAGCAGATTATGTCTGATACCACAGAAAGAGTATTTATTTCCTAAGTCCCCTTCACTTTTTTAATTTTCTATACAGCTAAGATTCTTATAGAAACACTTAATTCTATTTTTCTATTTAGTTCTATTAGCAAGTACCTATGACAGACTGAAATATTTCATTATCCTGTTCAGGAAAGCATATTATCCTTATTCCTCAAAAAAAGAATATTGGCAACAGCGATTTACTCAATAAGCAGTCAATATGAAAGATTGTTTGAGGTAGCCAACAATATTCTATACCTCCTCAAAAGCAGATTACCATATGTACCCACCATTAAGTATGGCTCTCCACCTTAGTTACTGAGTTCCATGGTCAATTACTTGGGTGTGCACTGAAGTTACAGTTAAAACTGAAAACTAAGTTTTCTTAAATTTTCTCTTTTCAGAGTTAAAGTTTAACTTAGTACCAGTTTTATGTTTCAGTTTTTTAAGCTTTCTATACATGTGCTGTATATACATACACCCAACAGAATGCAATTACAAAATAGAAAAATGTATTTGTAACGGACTGATCATTTACCTTTTAGTATCATACCTTTTGATCCAGGATTGAACTATATTCTACATATTCATGAATCAGATGAGCAGGCCCTACCAACTCAGTTTTAGCTTTAATCCAATCTAAAGAAAACATAAGATCACGGAGTTCCTACAGGAAATAAAAATTCAAATTCAGAGCGTAAGTTTCACAACAGAATCTACTTAAGGGGAAAAAGAAAAGCACAGGAAATACATTAGGCATTTAATATGCTTCAGTACAATTGTCTTTAGTTAAAAACTTAGGCAATTTCCTTGTTTCATGCATCTTACTCTATCTGGTATGGAAATTCTGGGTATAAAAGGCTAAGCTTGTTATTTAAGGACTGCTATTTGATACAGCTAGTCAGAAAAGGGATGGGGGTACAAAGCAGAACTTAACTTGTAGCATACAAGACCTGGTTTAAGATAAAACTCTGGTCTACCTTCTTCTAGTTCAGTCTAGCAAATATCACTCTGCTAATACTCATCTGTTGTTCTTCCTAACAGATACTGAATTTGGATTTCAGCAAAAAAATCTGTTATAGTTGCATTTAACTTAGAAAAAAAAAAGAAGCTTATTTAAAAGGCAATCAGAAACTGGAAATAGAATTATGACAATAGAAGATTTCATTTGGAAGGGACCTACAATGATCATCTAGTCCAATTGCCTGACCAATTCAGGGCTGACCAAATGCTAAAGCATGTTGTTAAGGGCATTGCCCTAATACTTCTTGAAACAGGCTTGGGACATTGAACATTCCTCTAGGAAGCCTGTTTGAGTGTTGAACCACCCTCTCGGTAGAGAAATGCTTCCTAATGTCCAGCCTAAATCTCCCCTGGTGCAGCTTTTAAGCATTTCCATGTGTCATATCTCAGGGAGAAGAGTTCAGAACTGCCCTCTCCACTTCCCCTCCTCAGGAAGCTGCAGAGGGCAATGAGGTCAGCCCTTAGCCTCTTTTTCTCCAAACCAGACAATCCCAAATTCCTCAGGTACTCCTCACAGGACATTCCTTCCAGCCCCCTCACCAACAACATTGCCCTCCTCCACATGCATTCAAGGATCTTCATTTCTTAAATTGTGGGGCCCAGAACTGCATACTGTACTTGAAGTGAGGCTACACCAATGCTGAATATAGCAAGATAATAATTTCTCTTGAGCAGCTGGTTATACTGTCTTTGATGCACCCCAGGATGCAGTTTGTCCTCCAGGCTGCCAGGACACACTGCCGATTTCTGTTGAGCCTGCTGTCTACCAGCACCACCAGGTCCCTTTCTGCAGGGCTGCTCTCCAGCCACTCCTCTCCCAGTTTATACTTGTGTCCACCCTAGGTGTAGAATCCAGCATTTAGACTTCTTAAATTTCATCCCATTAATCATTGTCCAATCCTCCAATCTATCTAGGTCCCTCTGAAAGGTCCCTCAAGAGAGTCAAGAGCACCTCCCAGTTTGGTATCATCATCAAACTTGCTAATGGTGCATTCAACTCAAGATCATTGATAACAACACTGAACAGGACTGGGCCTTAAATTGAAACCTGAGGAACACCAGCATATCCTCTCATCTCACAGTTGGATGACTTGTCCAGAAGGATTCTGTGGGGGACAGTATCAAAAGCCTTATTAAAATACATAAAAAAACCTATATCCACTGTAGTTAAGCCTGGGTATTCAAAAAGGTTTAGAGAAGATTTCTCAGCAAAGCTTCTTAGAAAGGAAAATACAAGTCCTTATGATACAAAATAGGAAATCTTCTTAAGAACTGGCTGAAAAGATAAGATACAAAGGGTAGAAATAAGGTAGTTTTCATAACAGACAGTGAATATCAGTGGAGTGCCTAAAGGACTTTCTGTTGAGTGTTTACCTATCTGCTCTACAGCCTGGGAGAAGAGAGGTTCGGGTGGGAAAAAGCCAGGGGGAAAGGCTAGGTGGATCAAGAAGGGAAACAGAGGGCACTAGTCAGAACTCACCTTCTGCATGTTGGCACCAGCCATATGATATGCTAGGAAGTTATACCAATACATGCAATCCTCTTGAGATGGAACAGGTGTATTAAGTTTGTAATATTTCTTGTACTGATTTACTATGTTTTTATGTAGCTCCTGCAATGTGAATTAAAACATACTATCCGTTAATACTATACCAAGGTATGGATTGGTTTCAGTATTGAGAAAGTACTAATAATATTATATTGTATATAGTTTTGATGAATAGTATTATTTCTCAACCATAATACATGAACAATAAATAACAATAAAACAAGAAAAGCTTACTTTCCAAACTGTATACTTTACCTAATTTATCACTGAAAACTTCTCCAGAAACATCCTCTGGATATCGAAAGACAGAAAAGCAAGCTGTTAACCTTTGTCCTCAGGCTAAGAACAGCTGCCAAATCACTCTTCACATTAAAAGTGGATAGCTAACAAAAAAAAGACCCTTACATATATAGAATCATAGAATAGTTAGGGTTGGAAAGGACCTTAAGATCATCTAGTTCCACTACACCAGGTTGCTTGAGGCCCCATCCAACCTGGCCTTGAACACTGCCAGGGATGGGGCACTTACCACTTCTCTGGGCAACCCACTCCAGTGCCTCACCACCCTCACTGTAAAGAACTTCTTCCTTATATCTAATCTAAACTTCCCCTGTTTAAGCTTGAACCCATTACCCCTTGTCCTACCACTACAGTCCCTAATGAAGCAAGTGTAATAACTTGCCTTTTCTTCATATCTACTCTTTGCCCTGTCCTTCAGAACTGATAAATTTATTTGGTGCAAGTTACAGGTCCTCTCCCCTGTAAGTATTGCCTTAAATTGAAAAGGGGGGGGGGGGAAAAATTCTCTGTAGAAAGAAACTCACTATTCTGGTAGGGTCTTGATGCCTTTGGAATTACCAGTGGGCCATTCCATCTCCTGCTGGAAATGTCTTTGACAGAAAAATAATAGATACAGAGTCTTCTCTCAGTGTAGTTTCTTAGCTCCAAATGGAACCATCAGGAAATCACTCCACAGTTTCAAGTTGAAAATAAATGGTTTTAATTAGCCAGCATTAAGTTTAACTGCACTGTGGACCTATTCTATGAACCTACTCTGGATGCCATTTAACAAAGCAACATTTTCTGAAGAACACCTAGCTTTGGAGAGAAAAGGTAAAATTGAATAGACTAGTCAATATCCTACCTGAAGATGGTTGCGATTCTTCTCTGTAAGAAAGTCAAGCTGAAGATCATGTAAATAATAATGGAATGACTTCCCATTACGATCACAGAACAACAGCGATTTGTTAACAAATTCCTGTAGTATATCTTCAACTTCTTCAGTTTCCATATCCCAAAGAATACAGAGAACCTAAGAAAGCACATTAAAACAGAAAAGCATCAGAACTAAGGGGAAGTATGACTTGTATAAATATCATAACAGGCTACCAATTAACTGACAAAAAAACACATGCTAACAGATATAGACAGATTATCATTTGTAATAAATTCAGTAAGTTACCAATTGTTTCATACCAAACTACAGAATAGGTAATACAAGTTAACCCATCTTTTGTCTATTTGTGCTGATTTATGGTGATCCTATCTTTTTCTTAAATAAGACAAATTTCACAAAGCAGTTTTTAAGCCTTTAGAGAGCTCAATTACAATCTAATTTAAAAACTGTATATGGAATGCACATTAAACTTAAACATTATGAATACATTTGCTCAGTTACCATTTTGTTTCCCTATCAACAATAAAAGTCATGATGCGATAATGGACCTGACCTACCCAATCTAGCAATTACTGTTAAGTTACATACAGCATAAGTTATACACAACAAACACAAATTACATTAATTCTTTAAAATTATTTTTGGTAGCTCACTAAAAATGATGAGATTTCTGCATTGCTGTTATTACCTTAGTAGGTACTTTAACATCTTTTGGGAGGATAGAGAGGTCTTTATAGTAGTCCTTATAATTGTCATTCAGGTGCTCAACACTTATGGACATTGCTTCATCAAGGGCTTCATAATCATATGAAGAAGATTTTCTTATTCTTTTAAACTGCTTATTCTGCAGCTGCTTCAGATAGTATTCCCAGCGACTGGGGAAGTCTCTTAACAATGCACCTATCAAGGATATCACAAGAGGAGAACCTGAAGGAAAAGATTATATTAGTCTTAGAGGTTCTCAGGAACACATTCAAGAGGTTAAATAAATTAGATACTTTACCCAATACATTGATTAAATTCTTGAGGTGTGGAGAACAGACAACCAAAACATGACATCTGCAAACTTATCACATTTAAGTGTAATAGGGGATCAGCTGAAGAAAACTACTCAAAAATCAACATGAGACACTTCTACTTAGTTTAAAAAAAAAAAAAAAAAAAATCAAAGCACTTCTATTTTACTTAAGGTACACAGGATTAAAGCATGTTCGCTCCTCTATGTTTAAGTCAAAATCTAGAAGAAAAACATACATTCAGTGCTAAATGGTATGTTAAAGAGTGGTAAGTATACCTTTGCATTCCCTTACAAGGCAGTTAGCTTGTTCTGGCAGTTCTGATATTTTCATATTCACAAATAGGGATAAAACCTCCAGTCCTTTCTCATGTGCTAATCCACTTTCCACATGAACCTCATACTTATTGCCTAGACATAGAAACATGGGAAAATTTTAAAACATAAAAAATCCTATGAAACTGAGAGTATTTTCCAAGCAAAATCTGGAGCAATGGATTTAGCTCATGATTTTTTGCATAGTATTTTATATGCTTCGTACCAAGAAGACTACAAATTCCACTATCAGAATCAAGTTTGCATTAGAGACACAAAAAACTTAGACTATAATCTAATAATTAGAAATGCATTATGGTCATATAGTACCAGTGATTATTTAATAGTATAGAGATAATCAGTCTACAGCAGCAGTGTCGCAGAGGTTAATGTGTCCTGTTGAGAATCTTTGCAGTCTTCAGTGTAGACATATAACTTTCAGGATAACATATAACATTTATTTCACAAAGAGCATAAAGTCTTACAAAGCAGAATTTTAAAACTTCTGCACAAGTTGATAGACAGATTCTACTAGATTCTTTAAAAAAAAAAAAAAATCACAAGAAAAAATTGCATACATATACACACAAAATCTGTGATGTCTGCAGCAGAGGAAACTGTTCCTTACCTGCCACAGCATCTGTTATGCTCCTGTCCCTGCTGGTGATAAGAACCTGACATTGATTATCAAATGCTTTTAATACCCAGGAATCCCAAATGTCATCCAGGATCAGAAGAGATCTAATGCAAGAAGAAACATTGCAGATTTCAGATCAACTATTAGTGCTACAATACAATATTGCATTTCAATAATGAAAGAAAATTTTCAGCATTTACAATGTATCACTGCATAAATTTTTTATATAAATAAGTAAATTATCTTGTGGAAGGTGGGGGTTGGAACTAGATGATCTTTAAGGTGCCTTCCAACACAAACCATTCTATGATTCTATGACCTTAAGTGGGCATTAAAGGCTGCAAGAAAGGTGAATGCAAGTATCTCAAAAAAACCCAAAAACCAAAAAAAACCAACCCCCCCAAAAAAAATCCCACCCTGCTTTATAGCTACAACTGAAGCATAAACAATAAAGTTCTGAGAAATATCTCCATTAACAGATGCCAGGAAAACCAGAAATATATACTCTGTTTTCAAGTCATCATACATCATAAATGAAGAAAAAAGTTGTACAGGACTACGTAACAACTCTGCTTGACCCAGGCTAGTGATAAGCTTTGTGGAAGAAACCATTTCAGCTTCCTTTTGTCTTGAGAGTTTTCAGTTTTGTTCTGGTACCTTCAGAAAGCTGTAAGACTAATCCTCCTGTGAAGGAATTATCTTGGATGCTGAGGTTCTTTTTACATAAAAAATATTTTATAGTGACTATCTATTCAAATCCTATGGCTAGTCACGTTTCTAGGCTGCTATATAGCCTAGAATAATGCACCTGCCTATATCTGACAAAGAAATTACTCAAAACTGTTTTTAAAATGTTACAAGGGAGCAAGAAGTCAAAAAGATTGGCTAGCAAGTAGATTCATGAAAAGAAATAGCAGTTATTTGCATTCTGTGTGTTTTGTGGTGGAAAGAAAAGTTACTGAAACCAAATCCTACAACTCCTTTACATGGACTGCTCTTTTTTGGTCTTAAGGGATGGAATTTTCAGCTACACTAGTCATTGGTTAAATTGTCCAATTGCCACTGAAGCATGCCAAGACTTGGCCATTTATCTTCAGCTAAATGACACTTGTGCCATCAACGATTATAAATAAGGATTTTATCCTTCATAAGCAAGTGCATATACATTATGCCACGCTTTCAAAGTTGCATGTCTTGAATACCCGTATCTCATTTTTATACAGTTTCTCTATTAATACTCTTTCGGTAAATCAGAGTTTACAAGAATACTATCATAGCCATAAATTACTCATTTTGTGATACACAAATACAATACTGTCTTATACATCTGCCACTAGCATCTATTTACCTTTCGATTTTTGTACACTTATCTGAACTTATTCTTTTATCACACATAAGTCAGTAGTTTAGAAAGTTTTAACTCCTATAAAAGAATTAAAATTCTAGAACTATTCAGAGCTTCACCCTGAATAACAATTCCTAATTATTTACAGTAAAACAAGAAAAGGGGACGCAAAAAGAGTTAGGAAGTTGGTATACAAAAAAAAAAAAAAACCCACACCAGAGAGACATGTAACCACAACACAGACACCTTAGATGATTAGACCAAAGTTACTCTGCAAAGTTCTATCAGTTAAAAGAATAGTGTTTCATTTTACTGACATCACCTGGGATATTTGCGTAGCATCAGTAAACGAAGACGATCTTTAGCCTCCTCAATGTTAAGTGGTGGCCTTTGTGAAAGAGTGGAGTCATGTTCTAATCTACTACAGAGATTCTGAAGTTTTATTAGGAGTCCTGCTTTGTCCTGTTTTCCAACAGAGATCCAGTGAACTCCTCCTGGAAAATAACCTAACAAGAAAAGCAGTATTAATCATGCTATACATTTAATATCAGAAATATTTAATAGCATCTTACAATAGCAATCAATAACTTGATTACAATTAAAATATAAAAGTTTATAGCCTATTGAAAACCAACTTTATAACTTTACCATTAACACACTAGGACGGTTCTACAAGACCACTATTTTTTAAAGAACAGGTTCTGTAGGGCAAGTTCCCACAGAGAATTCACACCACCACTGATGCTGTCACCCCTCCTCTCTATATGCCTTCCTGCCTATCCATTTACAATCCCTACTGCATCCACCTTCCTACTAGTCTGACTTAACATTTACTTTTATAACTCTCTACTACTGCAGGAATTCAGAGTTTGGGATGTGAAAATTATCCCAAAACAGCAAAAAAGAAGTCATCTAGAAGAGTCAGCTGTAGCAGAGGATGCTGTAGTCTGTATCCCTACATCATATTTTCTAACACCCAAGTCCCTCTTTCTCCTCCAAGTGTCCTGTAGTGGGGCGGGGGGGGAGTGGAATAGTCATTAAATGGTTTCATTTCTGATCTGCTTTCAGCTAAAGTGATACTAGTGTAATCAATCCACAAATGCTTGCCATTATTAAAATATATGCAAAAGTTAGAGCAAGATTTTTTAAACTCACATAACAAGAAGAAACTAAGGACTTAACAAGCAATGCCCCAAAGGGATATAAACTAGATACAATTATTCTGCACTAACAGAAATATCAACTTCAAGTTAATTAAGGATGCTTCCACTCTCATAAGCCAAAGTAGATTCCAAGGGAAAAAGCTATTCAGAACCTTTTCCCATAAATTAATAAAACACTTAGTGATCCTGGAGCACCGAATGGTTATGAAAGCTGTAAGTTGCAAGCAAACACTTCAGAAGCACCTAAAGAATTTAGAAACCTAATTCCTAAATTACTTTAAAGATTACATACGATATTTCACCATGTATGTCCAATACACATATACCTATAGTCATTTTTATAAAAAATATACATGTTTTTCTAAAAGTACCTTCCAAGAGATGATGATCCCTTAAAGCTTCTGCTGTTAAAACAGTCTTCCCGCAACCTGCCATTCCATAAACTGTGACCCAGCCCGGATCACTTCCCAAGCAGCACAGTTTCTGTTTAATAGCATCTACTAGTTCTGGCCGAGTGACAAACACAACAGGTCTCTGTGGTACACCTCCTTCGCAGAGAACTGTCTTAACTGAAGTTAAAAATAAACAATAAAAAGGGAAACATGAAAATAAGAAGTAACTTCTAAATGTGATGCCTCTTCAAATCAAACAACTCCCCACCCCAAACAACTAGCAGGCTCTACCCCCCACCTTGTGTCCCATACAAATGCTCTAAAAACTACTTGACTCGCAGCACCAAATACTGAAAAAATATTGCTTTTTAGAAATAAATTACTTAACAGACAACTAGCCTCCTACCTACAGGAGTGTTCCAATTAATAAGTACATGCGAGGCAAACTAGTTACATCAATCCACAGAAGTGAAAAGATAATTAACAGCTCCAGTAGAAACCCTGGCAAACACAAGAGCTCAGCTACACCCAACAATCAAGTCACTTTCTCAGCCAGAAGTTACTGATGCATGGATGCAGCAGAAAAGAAAGCATGTTTTGTAAGGCTTTTACTTAGTAATTAACAACAGCACAACACTGTGGTTCAAGCAAGACTTCCTTTCATTTAAGCTAAGATAGCATGACTTGCAATAGAGCAGGTAAAGCATAGCAGGAAAGAAAATGTGCACTTTATCACAAAGTGGCCATATGCAGTGCCGTATTATACTGATAAACTCTGGGAATTCTTACTCGGGTAATCAAATTTCCACATGCCTACGACACTTCTTAAAATGTAGCGTGCCAGTAAATACGGCAGTTAATCATATGCAGTTAAACAGCTCTTCCCAGTAGAAACTACCAATTTATCTCATGTCAGTCAAAGATGATACTGATGACAAAGTAGGTAAAAGTTAGGAATTTATGTAGGGTAACTAAACCATCTGGTGGAGAGAATTAGAAACCTAGTAACTAGATCAGATGCTGGAATGTAGGCTGAGAGATTACAGACTACAATTCACAATAAATGTTGACATTTTTGAGGCTATAACTTTTTATGTTAGATTCAACTTTAATACATATAGGAGGTCTTTAGCATACAACAAAAATGTTAAAATTTAGAGAAAACTGTGAGAGCTTCAGGTTTCCCTCTTTTAAAATAGACATTATTGTGAACATTTTCCAGATAACCTACAAAAGTCATAACTGTTAACTCACCTGCCATATTAAATATATGACATACAGACATACTAGTACCACTATGACTACTACACTACCACAACAAGCGAATGCACCAACTACTCCTTTTTCACTGAAACAGGTATTACAGACAGTCACTTAGTAAGAAATAAAAAAGGCATCTGGTCTTTACTTTCAAGCACAGGGATTGCTGTAGTTACACTGACCGTACGAAGTCATTCCATCCATCGAACTCTTTCTGTTACCAGAGTAGACGGCAGGGATGCCATCCTGAAGAAGTGCAGCAAGATCACTGTATCCTTCATGAAGTAGTGCATTATAGAAGGATCTATATGAATTATTATCTTTTGTAAGAATAATGTTTATTAGCATTGCTGCTCGCTCCTTCTGTGTATTCTAGGGAATAAAAAAAACCAAACCAACAAAACATTAAAATAGATGTCATATATGGAACTAAGAGACCTTAGAACTTATCAAATCTAACACTGTAAATTATAGATGGTTTACAGTTACAGAAACAACTTACCAAGCCCTTAACTCAATGAAGTGCAATAAAAACTGCATGCTAAGCACATGCTTAAGAATTTCCTGAATCCAGGAATGAGACAGACAGAAATTACTATTTTTAAAACAATGATATAACACATGAGTAGACTAGGAAGACAAATAACAGTGAGAGATGGTTCTACCTGTTGTCTTACTCTCTCCTCCTCCTGTAATGTTAGCACTTCGTCAGAAATCATATGATCCATAATATAGGAAGTCTTGATGTCTTTTTCCAATGCTTGGCGATTCATAAGTAAATAATTTCTACTCTTGACATCCATATTTCTTCAGTGTGAAAAAGCAGGGGGATGGTTGGAAGAAAGTCAAGTCAGAACCAGAATATAACTTACAAGTACAAGGAAAAAAGTTTTAAAACAGCTTATGAATTCTTGTTTTAAACTCAGAAAAAGTAGCAGAGCATCTGCATTAGTGGAAAACAGCGTGAATCTTCAGGCAAGCTCATATTACAAACGGCAGAAAGCTAAAAAATTTAGCTGTTTTTTTACTTTCTGCCTTGATAAAGAGACTTTCATACTACTGTTACAAGAATGTAATTATACTGTTTATGACTCATTAGTCTAGCTCAGCGAGACAGTACAGCAGCATTAAAAAAACCACCAGGGAAATCTGATATTCCTTTTCAACAGAATAAAAAAAGGTGTATTAATATTTAAGTTGCAATAGTTCACAGGCTACAGTATTCTCGAAACACTGTTTAGATGCCATATGCTATCATGTTTAATAAAACCATACAGCTAAGTGTTATAATTAATCTGGCTTCATTATTTCTCCAATTGCTCCAGTTGAAGGCATATAAAGTAAGTATAAAAAGAATTTCAATCTTTAACAATTATTAGACCTATAGTAAAACTTTTGAGCTCACTACATGAATGGAAGTTTTCATTAAAAAAGCAAATATATACTACTAATTCTGAGTAAAAAAGAAAAAATCTGAGTCCTTTTCCACATTTCTATGAATATATGTTTATGAACACTTGCAGAACTAAAGAATCACAGTCTGTGCAGTCTAGTATTCTAGAGACTTCCTGAATGTCTCCATGAAAAAGTCTTCTCCCCACCCACTACGTCCCTCAAATTTTTGAAGTCCTTGGGTCATGTGAGTGGGACAACGGGATGAGAAAGAGGACTGGTCTCATAGCTGACAGCACTGGGCAGAACTACAACAGAAAATAAAATTCCAGTGTACCAAATCCCATGAGATAAAATCGATGTTGTCTCCAAGTTCAGGACTTCATACAGGTACACTCAGATCTCAACACACTATGGAAGATGGAGCATTCAACCCCGCCAATGACTGAGCTATACCTTCATCAGCATTTTCATAACTATAAACTTGCATTCGTCCTCTAGGTCATAAAAAAACGTGCCTGAAGACAAGAGAAGAAAACTACTGTCTACTACACAAAGGTTTTCCAAAAGTGATCAACTCTAAGTCCCAAATGATCTCCCCGATCACACAATCCTGCACAGTGACCGAAGGCTCCATAGACACCTGCAAACTCCATGGAGCAACTACAAAGCTGCCTGCAGAAGCGCTCCCCTTTTCCTCCACTCCTCCTTTCAGGAGCCGGGTAGATGTAGAACAACTGCCTTTGGACAAGCCCGCGCCGGAGCGCCTCTTCCGCCGTACTCACAGAATTCCCTGTTTTCACTGAAAATGAGGTGGTTGGGAAAGTCTTACACCCTCCCTTGACCCCACCGCATCCCTCAGGAGCGGGGACGGGAACGCTTCCCAGTCGAAAAACGTCCAGGTTAAAGATAAACAAATAATTAAGCCACCCGTGAGGCAAATGCAAAACGAAAGCACCTCGCAAACACAGAAAACAAAGGCTTACCTCACACCCAGACACGCCTCGGCGTTA